CTGGAACTCAAAACAGAATCAAGTGTTTTTGCAAAGAAGAAAAATACCTCTGTTGAGGTACTTTACTCCACTTTCACTGGCCTTCTTAAAAGAGTCAAGAAATTGAACAGAGTGGAAAGTTCCCCTGCCTATTTCCTCATCCTGTCCTACTGACGTGACTTCAGCTTCATTCAGGGATTGTGGCTTCAGCATTTGTTTATTGAAATAGGCTTCTTCCTGATCTAATGCCTTTACAAAGAATTTCAGGAGCAATTTGAAAAGTAGCAATAATCAGTAACTTTCTAATTCCCTTTAAACCGAACATAACAGAATATGCCTGAATCACATTTAGGGGGGAAATCACCAAGAATGTTCTAAACTGTATTTATTTTAATAGGTCTTGTGAATGTATCCACTACTTCTTGGGAAAGGATAAGAATCATAACAGAATCATAGAGTTGGAAGTGAGCACACAAGCCATCCAATCCAACTCCCTGCCATGTAGGAAAAGCACAATCAAAGCACCCCTGTCAGATGGCCATCCACATCCAGCCTCTGTTGAAAAGCTTCCACAGAATGAGCCTCCATCACATTCCAAGGCAGAGAGTCCCACTGTTGAACTGCTTATACGGTCAGGAAGTTCTTCCCAATGTTTAGGTGGAATCTCCTTTGAACCTTGTCTCCAAGTCCCTGTCTCCAGGACAGCAGAAAACAAGTCTGCTACCTCTTCTTTATGACATCCTTTCACATAGGTATACATGGCTATCATGTCTCCTCTCAACCTTCTCTTTTGCAGGATAAACATTCCCAGCTCTTAAAGTCTCTCCTTATAGAGTATGGTTTCGAGACCTTTGATAGTTTTAGTCAACTTCCTCTGGGCACGTTCCACCTTATCAATATATCCCTGTTGAATTGTGGTGCCCAGACCTGGACACAATATTATTCCAGGTGAGGTCTGACCAAAGCGGAATAGAGGGACACAATTAGTCTTTTTGAGGCAGTCCTAAATCCTATTGGATTTTTAACTGCTGCATCACATTGGTGGCTCATGTTCAACTTGTGATCTGCTAAGACTCCAGAATGTCTTTGATGTGCACTGTTATCGAGCCACTTGTTACTCATCCTGCATCTTGTGCATTTCATTTTTTCTGCTAAGTGTAGTATCCCACATTTCTCCTTGATGAAATTCATTTTGTTAGTTTTGGCCCAGCTCTCTACTCTGTTGAGGTCATTTTAAATTCTGATCTTGTCTTCTGGAGTATTAGCTATCTCTCCCATTTTGGTGTCATCTGTAAATCTGATAAACATGCCCTCTAAACCTTCACTCAAGTCATTTAAGAAGATGCTGTACAGCATTAGGCCTAGGAAGAGAATCCTGCAGCACTCCACTACTCACATCTTTCCAAGATGAAGATGAACAATTGGTAAGAATTCTTTGGATTCAGTTGCTCAACAGATTACAAATCTACCTAACAGTAGCACTGTCTAGCTCAAATAAAATTATCTAGCACCAAATAAACAAGAGATATTTATTTCTAACTAGTTGAAGTGACTAACTCGAATGGCTTAGAATACCCTCCTACCACTTTCCCACCACACTTATATAGGTATTCTTCTTCTCCCACTCCATCCACCTGAGGCCATGCACTTTAGAGAACCGAGCGCTCTTTCTCTTTCCTTACCCACACAGTTTCTCCTTTTTCTTTCATGCCAACTCAACCATGTTCCCTTTTTAGCTCCACTACTTTGGTGCCCTCTTTCTCCTAATCACTCGCAGGGGCCAATTTAAGGCTAACCTCTCAAGTACTGCTTGAGAGGTCTCCTATTACTATCTCTCCGAAGGCATGAAGCTCTGCACTTCTAGTACCCAGCCAACAGGATCTTGAGCCATTCCTACACTCTTTCCAACACTCCTCCTTACTTGCTCTGTGGTTTGGGAGGCACTTGAGATAAAAGTGTTTATGGCAGGAGAATGCCACCAATAGGGCCCTCAGAAATCTGGGGAAGTCATGCCAAGCAACTGACTCTTCTGAAGTGGGTTGGCCAAATTTATACATTAGGACTCAGACATTGACAGAATGGGAAGAAAACATGCTTATGCTTTCAGTGTAATTTTGTTCAACCTACTACACAGCAAAAGTCACTGTATCATTTCTCCACTTTGGGAGAATGAGATTACGATCCCTTTCTTGACCAAACCATCTGAAGTTCTTGTAACTTATCTCCTGTGCAAGGGAATAAATTCCCAAATAATTTTGAATGTTCTACATCAGTGGTTCTCAACCTGTGGGTCCCCAGATGTTTTGGCCTTCAACTCCCAGAAATCCTAACAGCTGGTAAACTGGCTGGGATTTCTGGGAGTTGTAAGCCAAAACACCTGAGAACCCACAGGTTGAGAACCACTGTTCTACATGGAAAGTCATTAGAATTATATTCTGAAATGGTATGTGAGGAAGTACAGCAACTGTATTTAATTTTTTTCTGAAGTATTTTCAATTTAATTAAATTGTCTTATATTGACCCATTCAACAGGTTCCCATAGCTACTTACAGAAAATGAAAATTCAATAGAAACAAATTGAAACAAGCATTAACAACACACAAGGGTCCTTGCTGGTCCGTCTTTATTACTATCTTCTCTACTGGTGAATATTGGCTTGTATGTTGTAATATTGAACATTAATTAAATAATGAGTATAATTTTAAATACCCAGAAAAGTTTCAGAAATATTCAGAAAAGTTTAGAATTTCTAACAATATTTACAACTCTTTGTAGAGGACTTCGTTGTTCTCTTAAAACAAATAATAATGGTTATATATCTACTCTCAAGTGCAAATAAAGTATCTAGTTCTGATAGTTGCTGTTTTGGGTCTAGTAATTATAGGGTTATCTACTACAACAGCACACTAGACTGTGATTAAGAGGTTATAAATGCCCATGTCAGCAAAGCTCACTCATAATAATAAGAGGGATTTTGATTGCAGAGGAGCAATCCAGCAACAGGCTCAATAGCTTCCACATGTTTCCAACTGTTTAGTGTAATAATCAGAAATTCAAGGGAGTTTTTACATATAGGTTTAAAGGACATTTTCACAGCTGAATTAGTAATTTGGACCAAATTACATAATCCTCTGAGAATCCAAATGGGAGAAGAAATTCCAAACATACAACCCCTATGAGATTTGTAACAGTTGACACATGAGAAGATCTACTTAAAATCTTAATATCTGGTGTTAGCATATCTGTTGACTTCAGTAGTAATTGGCCAAACCTTAGCAACTTTCCTCTTCTGCAGTGCTGGAATTATTTTGAAGTCACAAGTATCAGAAGATAAAATGGTTCTGTTTCACTGCTCAGGGTACAATTTAAAGACAGCTTTATTTTCCCCTGAACTTACTTGGCTTCCCGGGAGCAACCTTTAAATGTCATCATGCCATTACAAACGTCTGGCATCTGTTTTCCTTTAACAGTGTGTTCCAATACTTTACTTGTGCAAAGAGATCTCATCTAGGGCTTCAGTGTTTAAGGGTTTCCAATAAACCTTCAGTCAACTATAACCTATCTCCCGGTTTTGCATAAAAGAGCGCTAAATTGAATGTTTGGAGAGCAAATGAAAGAGAGGAGTATCAAAACTTATTCCAACCAGTTCAAGTACTTCATGCTTTTGAACGGACAGATCCCTTATCGGGCATAGTTGTTCAAAACAGAACAAAGTTAGCTATGTTTGAAGTATCTACCCTACTTTATTAATGAACTATCAAGAACCAAATGGCTCTACTGGTCTACAGACTACTCCTTCATCCTGATATACTCTGAGGTGGCTCTCATCAAAAATATAAGGAAGCAAGGAAGAGTTTATTTCTTTGAGCTTTGTACTTCCTGCTGATGACACAATCTTTTTTACTGGTTTAAAAATGGAAGATGAAAAAAAAATTGTTTCTTTAACATGTACATGTAAGCAATACATGTGACCATTCCAAAAGATATACCTAATTTCAATGTGCACATGTATTACAGAATCATAAAATCATTGAATCATAGAGTTGGAAGAGACCTTGTGGGCCATCCAGTCTAACTTGCTGGCAAGAAGCAGAAAAATCACATTCAAAGCACCATATGTTAAATTAATAATAATGAGATGCTCATTATGCATATCATTATTTTTTATTTTATTTATATTATTTATATTATATAATGCCGAGTCATAATCTTATGTCCAAATCGTTTTCCAAAATCCATAGTCAAGTTGTTAAAGTCTCATTCCGTAGTTTCCTATTAACCATATATACTGTCTTTCCCCCAAGACTGGGGCCCCATTTACTCTGCCATAAAATGCAGTTTCAGAATGTAGTGTAACTGCACTATATGGCAGTGTAGATTCATATAATCTGGTTCAATGCAGCTAAATTGCATTCTGAACAGGATTATATGGCAGTATAGACAGGGCCTGGAACTCAAGATAGGTTTATGTGCATAAAATATTACACTAAAAAACATATACATTAAATTAAACTATTAGCCACACAGCTTTTATGCACTGCAGTAGAAACCTTTCAACTAATGCTGTTCCGTAAAGTGAGAAGAGCAAAGCAGGCTGGTCCAAAAAATCAACATGACATAAATTAAAGCCAACTGATTAAAAGTACACCGCTTTCACTTTTGTCCTAACAACATATAGAGGACTAAAGTGCAAATAATCAAGGGCCTGCGATACATTTTTTTCAGGACACTGATCTAGAGTGCAATATTTAAGAGTTAAAATGCCCATTAAACAATTATAATCAAGAAATAATGTATCTGACAACAAATACTGAACTACTACAATATATTTCTGGAAAAAGTCTAATTGCAAAAGATGCGCTGGGAATACAATGACAGCTTCTACAACCACCAGATATCCCATGTGACCAGTGAAGACAAGTTTGGGAGAGAAAGAAATTTAACTGCCACTGTTCCTATGAAAGAAGTAGTTCGGCTCAAGCTTAAAACGTTACCAAGATTAAAATGCAAAATAATGATACCTGTAGTCACGTTCATCTGATCATGCTCAGGCACATCTATCTCCACTGCACTTTGTTCCCCTTTCCGATTCAGTGCCTTAGAAAAGCTGCTGGAGATTGTAGAGAAGAAACCACGGGTAAAGTAACTATCCTGGTCACCACATTCTGGTTGCAGAGGTGACTTTAGACTTCTCTCTCTCCAGTGTGGTGTCGGTTCTGATATAGACCTGTAAAATGGGGCACGAAACGGCCGAGTTGCAGGCATGGTGAGCTTCTCTTCTGAATATTCCTGGTGATTATCAGCGATTGAAGTCTGTGCCTTAAAAGCCTGTGCAGCAGTCTTGGGTACATCTGTTCTCTTGGTCACCATCCAGCGAAGTCGAGGGGGAGTCTGCCATCGGTAAGCTCCAAGCAGCTTTCCTAAATCTGAACCTGCTCCTTCATACATTCCCTTGCTTGTAACATGATGGTACCAATGATAGTCCTTCAAGCTAGCTCCGACTTTTCTAGAGTCATCATCCTGCTCTGACATAGACCTCTGGAAGATTGCAGGAGAAGGACTCAGCCGCTTTTTAAATACATTCATTTTTCATTTCTCACTTTCAGTTACCTAAACTTAAACGTACTTAGATGCACTTGTTATGATATTGCCATTTGAGCTACTTCCTTCTGAGGAATACTAGCAGGTATTCTTCAATGTTTAAGGATTTGCAATAAACCTTCAATCATCTGTAACCAGATGAAGACTAGCTACTTAACAGGTATAATTCAAATTCAATATCACAACATTTTCAATTATCTGGATGCAACCGTGAAGCCGAATCAGTATCTACACAAGATCTTCCAGTCTTCAAATTAAAAGACAGCATGTGAAGTCAAATTTCGGTTCCTTGGTTTCATATCGCTGCAACATATTTTCAGGAAGTGACCAAAAGGAAAAAGAAATCGTAATAAAGTCCCACGGAGTAAGTGCCTGGCCAATTATATTTCTTCTTCTCATTTTGTAACAGTGAATCAACAATAGAATGTGAAAGTACCTGTAATTTCCATATAGCCACATCAAGAAGTGATAACCACAAGTTTCTTGAGTTTAAAAATAGTTTGCATCAAGATGAGATCTTTGTGGCAAAACTTGTAGAGATGTTTCAGTTCCTGAACAAGTCAATATATACATTGCTGTTCTCATAGCTGCCTTCAAATCCAGAACAGAATTAAAGCCAAATCCAGAACAGAAATAAAGCCAAATCCATTAACTGCAGTGCAGCAGCCCCAACAGAGATGCATATGAATGGAGTGCAGGAAAGGAGAAGAAGCCACAGCCAGAAGGAATAATGCTGCAAACACACTAAAGGAAAATATGCAAATAGGAGGAGTAAAGAGAGGGGTGGTAGCTGGTGTTTAGTCAATCACTGACCAAAGCAAAGAAGCAGACCGTTTTGAGGCAAGAACTTGTGGCAAAAGAAACATGGTAATGTGCATACTTTTCAAGTGAGCCGGGTTTTTGTTTTCATAACTCTAACTGGAGTCAGCAGACTGGGAAACAAAATTTCTATCCAGTTAAGTAAAAAAAATAGCCACTACGACAACTTCAGGAACAGCTGACTATATTAAATTTGCTAAAGAAAACATATCTCCCAATCACACAAGCCAAGTTTCAGATTAGATTGAAACAATGTGCTCACAAACTTCAGAAAATATGGGTTTTAAAGTGAAAATGCTGATGGGCCTCTGGCAAACACTGCTGTGCTGGCACACAAAATGACTTTTAACTATTTGAAACAATTACCTAGTTTGGCAGACTAATAAAAACAGATCAAAGGACCACAGATTACTTAGTTATGGTCTTTTTATCAGCAGCACAGCATAGGTGCAGAACTAGAAATGAGGCTTCTAAGATACTCATTTCAAGCTAGATCACACACGTTATATTGACAGACTCTAGATTATACCTTTTTTTCTTTCAAAAAGAGAGCCTGATCTTTTTAACAAAAATGACCCAAATCGTCTGCATTAACAAGTGAACATAGGACACTGCAATACACAGGGTCAGACCCACTGACCTATATAGCCCTGCGTGCAGTCAGTTGGTTTGTATCTGCTCTCCAAGGTTTCAGGTAACAAGAGCTTTCAACACCTTACCATCTGTGATCCATTTTAACTGGAGAAGCCAAGGACTTAATCTGGGATTTTGTATGAGCAAAACATACAGTCCACCACTGAGATGTAGTATACTCCAGGAGGGAGGGACAAACCTTAAATATGTCGGACAGGACAGGACAAAATAATATTGCAAGGGACTCTACATGCTCACTAATCTTTCTACATGCACATACTCCGTGTTCTTAAAATCATTATTTTAAAGTGCATATACTTTCTCATTCAAAGCAAGAGGAGTTTATTTAAAAAGATCTATGTAGAAGTCTAAGATAAAAGAGTTTCATAGCCCTATCCTAAGAAATCTGGGGTGGGTCTGGGAAGAAAGAAAATCACAATTCCTAACTGAAGAAACCTAGTTAATGAGGTTTTAAATATAATTCTAACAGTTTTCCCATTAAAACATAGTTTACAGCTGAAAAATACACCATTATAATATGCAGACAGAGAGTGGGTTTCGCTTCCATAGTACTCTCTTGAATAACCTAGCATGACATGTAAGCAGAAGTACATATATCAATGGCGGATCCAACATCAACAGAGTATGGATTCCACTCTGGGTTTTCATTTGTGTTTTAAAGGACCTACCCAGGATGCTAGCTAAGAAAGATGAATGGAAGACAAAAAGCGACTTTAGAATAATTGACTTTTATTTTGTCCATCTAACTAAACAAGGGAGCAAGCTTGTTTTCTGCTTCCCTGGAGACTAGGACACGGAACAATGGCTTCAAACTACAAGAAAGGAAATTCCACCTGAACATTAGAAAGAACTTCCTAACTGTGAGACCTGTTCAGCAGTGGAACTCTCTGCCCCGGAGTGTGGTGGAGACTCCTTCTTTGGAGGCTTTTAAACAGAGGCTAGATGGCCATCTGTCAGGGGTGCTTTGAATGCAATTTTCCTGTTTCTTGGCAGAGGGTTGGACTGGATGGCCTATGAGGTCTCTTCCAACTCTATGATTCTATGATTTTATTTGACATGTTACATTATCTTCCTGTTATACCATTTTTTTTGTTTCATCTTTGAGATTTATCACAATCAAGACAGTGTTCCCTCAATTATCGTGGGTGCTACGTTCCAGGACCACATGCAGTAAGTGAAAATCCGTGATGTAGGGAAGCTCCTCCACGCCTCTCTCCCCCTCCACCCTCTCTCTCATTCACTCACTGCTGCTCCTACACTGACTGGCAGGCAAGGGAGGATCCTCACCGGGGAGGACAGGCTCCCGGCCTCTTCTTCTTCTTCTTCTTCTTCTTCAGAGGAGGAGGAGGAGAGCTCTTCCCGGCTGAGTAGCACCTCAGCCGAGGCCTGTGCTTGACCTCTTCCTCCTCCGCCGCCTCCTCCTCCTGGCCCGAAGGGAGGAAGGCCCTGCTGCCTCCCTGGGCTCCGGCACCCTCCGACCACACCATTTACCAGGGCCTGGTTCCCCCTCCCCTACTCTCCCCCTCCGCAGGGGAGGAAAAACCCACGAAACAGCGCATCTGCAATAAGCGAGATGTGAATTAGCGGGGGAAACACTATATTCTTAGTTATGCCAATGGACAACATGGTCTTGTTTTGAAACATTTAAAAAGAGAACCAATTGCTTTTTTATTTAAAGTCCAAATTTATTGATGCTTTAAAGACAAGATTTGAAGCAACAGATGCCATATGTTAGTTATTCACACCCATTTTGAATTTTCAGAACATAGACAATGACCAACTAACTGCAAAAGCAGCAAAACTTGTAAATACATATGAGAAAAAAACTCTCAGAAGGCTTACTGCATAAAATCCATCACCTTAGAAGTATTCGCAAGATTGGTTTTGGCTCCAGTCAAGAGCAACTTAATCATCTAACAATTGAAACTGATTTATTTTACCCTAAATCGTGTAGCATCATGCTGCCCCTTAGCACTAAGTAAAGGGCCCTACTAAAGATGGATGAGGGGGACATCATGTCCTACATTAGGGTAAACAGTTACAGATAACAGCTTTTGTAAAAGAAGCAGTCTAGAGGTGAGAAACAGGTAAAAAGCCTCTTTAGCAGGGGCGGGGGCTGCTTTGAATGTTACAAATGAATAGCTCAAAGGAGAAATTGCTATTATTATCTGTTTCGATACAAAATAAAGATGGCACAGTTTTTGTTCAAACTACAGGTAAACCTGAACACTTTAAAAGTGCATGGTTAACTTCTGAAATTGTTTCCGCCATAGAGAATTTTCAGCTCTACTCTGTGTGTGGACTTGTACAAGCAGACAAAGGGAACTATTAGACAAAAAATGTGAAATTGTACAACATTCATGCAATCCTGACTTTAAAACCAGACACACACATACAAATCTTTTGTCTGGTTGCCAGATTAGTTAAGTAGAAAAAACCCTAGCTAGCAAATGCAGAAGTCAATTGAGGAAGAAATGCATCAGAAACATTAAATAAGAAAGATGAAAAATTTTACTTTGAATATCTGGGAAATTCTGCTTCCCAGTATTTTGAAAGTGATCCACTAATATCTCATGACAGGGGACTAATCTAGGTTACTCAGAACCAAAAAATAATCAGTGTGACTTTGTAAAACAAGCTTGGCAGGAAAACAACAACGGATGCCAATACATCTCCTGTTGGAACAACCTTATTAAATTAAATGATATGTGCTTATTCTGGCCAAAGTACAATTGCAGCACTTCCAATCAATTAAACTTGCATACATGCTGACTTGCTAAGTTTTGAATAATTCAATGGGTTTTATTTGGATGGGACTAAGCATTTAGTTCACTGAAAGGGCGATACACTTCCATGGATGCTTTGGCTCATCTGATTTAAGGAACAAACTGAAAATTGTCAGAAACTGTTCTCAATATTTTTTAAGTCAACCAAATTCCATCTCTCTGTCACTTTGCACTTAAGAATAACGGAAGCAGATTGTTTTGGAAAAGGCATTTTCTTTTACTGACATAGCCACATAAATACAGCACAATATTACTTTCAGTTATTGCAGATCATTCCAAAGAAATTCTGAGAATGGCAAAGTCATCTATGGCGGTGCTCCTCAATGTGATGGTCTCCACACTAGTGATGATCAATGGATCACTGGCCTCAAGTAAGTCTCAACACCCTGAAAAAAATAATTGCCAATATCTCACATCAAACACAGAAAACTGTAAATTGTAGATCACAATACCTATATTACAGGAAATTCTACATTAAACATAACATGGGAACAGTAATTGATTAGTAGTTATCTATACATGAATGGTTGCTTATCAATATACTAGAAGCACCAAGAGACTTGAGCTTCCAGAATGACAATTTCTATATTCCAGGAGATTCTTCATTATTAGTTCATGAGGTCAGGAATAGTAACACAATTATTGTGTTACTATTCCTGATGTCATGAACTAATGAAGAATCTCCTGGAATATAGAAATTGTCATTCTGGAAGCTCAAGTCTCCTGGTGCTTTTAGTATAC